TTGGACACTGGGCCATTTGCATGCCATCTCAAGGCAAGGACTCCCCCGTAGCCCTGCAGGGACCTGGAGGGGCGGTGACACACTCAGCCTCTGCTGTCTCTTTGCTGGGTGGGGGTGGGGGGGCGTAGTTCTGTTGGGGTACCTCCCCTGCCCCCTCCAGCCTCTAGGCCGGCAAGTTCCCACTCCCTGGCACTCACCAGGTGCCCAGGAAGCCTTCCCTGACCTAAGTCCCAGCACCCTGTCTCCCCTCTGGAAGGTGGTCAAGGATGAAAGGTGTGAGAGGAATTCCCTGTGGCCGGAAAGAGCCCGGCTTGCTCAGGGTCCAATTCCCAGCATCTCTCTCACCCAGACAAACCGACCCAACTAGCCTCTGCCAAGTGACCATCCCGCAGGGTGAGCAGGCGGTGTGTTGTCAAGGAAGGGCTGTGCTCTTGGGGTCTTCAGAGGTGGGGTTTCCAGAAGCAGATCTCCAAGCCTTTCCGCGGAGGCACCTCTGGGTGAACTTGAACTGCCAACCTTTTGGTTACCAGCCAAGGACTTGCTTACTGTTTTTGTCAGAGACAAAAGAAGGTACTCAGTAAAAACTGTTGTAAGAATGAATGATGTAAAAAAAAAGAATGGTGTGTGTGTGTGTGTGTGTGTGTGTGTGTGTGGCTTTGCTGTATGAATTGTCTGTGCTTTAGGACTAGGATGTCGCTTTCTACACCGTTTGTCCTCTGGGCAGCCCAATGACCAGGCTTCTGCTTGTCCTCTTGCGGAAGTTGACTGCCGGGTCCAAGGTCTCAAGTTGTTGGGGGGAAGCTCCTACTGAGAGGGGCCTGGGCTGCCCAGAGACTCTACATTCCTTCTCAGCCAGGAGCAGGGGAAGGTGCTGTCAGGGAAGCCAGCCCTAGATAATGTCACAGACCCGCAGGTGCAATTGTATGGCTATAAAAAGATTACCATAAAGTCATAGATAATGAGAGATGAGAGGAAAATAAAGGAGTCAGACACATTTCATTGTAGCATGCTCACCTCAGCCCCTCTTGATGGTCCCTGTGGAGGTGTGGGAGGAGGAGAGAGGAGGAGAGAGAGGGAGCAGGGAAGGAGGGGAGCCTGGAAGAGAGAGTGATTTATTTCTAACCGAGGCTTATATATCTTTGGGGGTGTGCAAGCCCCCTGATTACAGGAAACGACCTGCATCGCAGGAAGGGGGTGTGCCACAGGCAATAAAGCAATGGGAGGGGGATGATCCAGGGTCTACAGGCCATTGGAAGAGGAGGGATTAAGGGTACACGTGTGACAAGATGGGCAGATCCTAGATTCAGGATGGCAGCCTAACCTTGGTTGTCATGGAGTTGATTTGACCACTTGTCTGGGCTCTCCAAGAAAACAATAGCTATTCTTATCAGTAGGGTGTGAGCCCCACCTATGGTGTGGACCAGACAGTAGTCTGATTGCTCTAGATGCCTTCAGGGAGACACCTTCCAAGCAGCTTGCATGAGTGTGCTACAGTCATTTACCATGTGTTGCAAGCAGTGTCCTAGGTCTGACGTACATATTTGGGGGAGACAAGCTGGGGAACAGTCTTTTGTATCCCACAAGGTGCCAGTTTAAACACAGGATGCCCAGTTCCACTTAGGGTCCAGATAAACTGTGATAAGACTTTCAGTAGGTTAAATGGAATGTTTGGGGCAGCTACTAAAAATGAAATCATTATGATTTAACTAGGCATCCTCCTCAGCCCTCTCACACCTGGCAACCCTAAGGTGGGGGGAGTGACTCCCTGGGAAGGGCCGTGGTTACTGTATGAGGCTGCTAACGGCAAGGTTGGAAGCTGGACTCTGCCCAGAGGTAGCTCAGAAGAAAGGCCATCTACCGTGGGACAATCAGCAGTTGAGAACCTTCATGGGGCACTGGGCAGCTGGAGAACACACGGGCCACCATGAGTCAGAGCTGACTGGAGGGCAGCTGGTTTGGGGTTTTAGAAACACAGTGGGAGACACCATGGCCCGGCTGGGTACTGGGCAGCTCTGAGGTGGTATAGACACCTGTTGATTACTGGGCTCCCTGCCTGTCAATGCCCCTGGTCTAGAGGCAGGCTGCCTACTCCTCTGTAGTTGTCAGAGGAAACCGGCCTCTAACAATTATACAGCAATAATATATAAAGGTTATAGTAAAGTCATAGAAGATAGGAGAGATAGGCGAGAGAACAAAATGAATCAGACACATTTAATGGTAGCATGCTCACCTCAGCCTCTCTTGGTGGTCGAAGAGTGAGTGGGAGAGCGAGCGTCTCTACTATCTTGGGATACTTATAGGTTGCCATAAGCCATGCATATTCAGTAGTTACATACGTCACAGGGTGGGTGGTAACCACAGTAAGGTCCCTGAGCTCACGGCTCACAGATGAGGAAACCTAATACCTGCACTGGGGAAGGTATGAGGGGGCTGGGTGGCACAGCAGGAGGTGACAACAGGATGTCTGCTTCTATAGGGAGAAAGAACCCACCATGTGCTCACTTTAAGGCACCACAGCTGTTAGGGGAGAATCTGTGGGAGTGACATTTAAAGCAGGATCATGTACTTGGACTTTACCTCTAATTTACCAAAGTGGCGGCTTTCCTACTGTGGAATACTAGCTTCCCAGATTCCCTCTGTTGTAAATTAGGGAATATAGTCCTCGTCACATTTCCCTTAGTGTTAGTTTCCCACATTTGGCCAAGGGACAGAGTGTACAGGAGACCGTTCCCCAGGACACCATCACCTCCTGCACTGCGCTGGGAGGGAGGGTCTTTCTGAGAGGAGGCAGTGAGGCTGGGAGGAAGGTGGGCCCAGGAATGGCGAGGGCGGGGCTGAGGATCGGAGGAATATGTTCCTCACAGTGTCTAGTGTCGCCTTGTGAGTGTGGCAAGAGGGCTTTTCTCCGAACCACACCCCGAGAAGGGGACATGGGGCTACTCTTCTCCAGCACCCCCCCACCCCAAGCTTCCCGACATGACTCTCCAAGGCAGGGGCGGGGGGCACGGCGGAGGCCTGTGGGTTTCGGACAGACAGCAGAGGGGGGCCAGGGGCTTGACTGATAGCTGGTGGGCCACCTGCTCTGTGAGAGGGCTTGGTGGAGCCATGCACCTTTAGAGCTAAGGCCCCAGGTGGGGGTGCCCAGGTCTCCACTTCCCTAGAGCTCCCCACCCACTCTAGGGGACACTCAGGTGGAAGCCCAGCCACCACCCCGCTGCAGGGGGTGGAGGTCTCTCCTGCCTGCAGAGGATGCTGCTGAAAGCTCTGGACTGTCACCATGCCCATCCCGTAGTCCTCGGCCACCATTATGGTGATCGTCATCGTCCTCCTCCTGGGGCTCACGTGGACAGGTCAAACTCAGGTCTTCCCCTCACCTGGCCTTTGTTGCCTGCGGTGGGCCTGCGGTGTGCAAGAGGTTCCTTCCTCAATAAACGTCCAATGACTTCTCAAAATGCACTGCAATCGTCAGTTCTGACTCACATCCCCCCCCACCGACCGGCTGCTGTGCCGTTCTGAGACTGGAACTTTTCATGGGAGTAGAAAGTCTCATCTGTATCCAAGGAGCTGCTGGCAGCTTCAAACCACTGATTTGGGGGTGAGCAGCCTCACTGAAGCCCATGAAGCCACCGCTTCCACAGCTGGAAAAAATACCCCTCCCACCAAGAGCTGAAGCTTTATTCTGAGGGCTTGGCCTGGGGCAGTGGATGCCCTGGCCCTCTGCTCCTGCCTGGCCTGGCCCGGTGTCTGACAGGAAAGAACTTTGTGTTCGGAGCTTGTAGGAAGTCTGAGCTGGGCTGTTATCGGTGCAGCCTTTCCTGCACAAAGGACCAGAGGGGGCCCAGGGGGGCTGGCCCTCAGCCTGGGCTGCCTCCTTTCTTGGGAAAGGACAGCTAGGTGGTGAATACCTTCGTGGGAGGCTGGTGGGGACTGGTCTTGACCTTAGGATGATGTGAGGTCAAGAGGGGTTGGAAGAACTGGGGGGAGGACTTCACCGACCCACTGTGAGGGGGGCGGGGGGAGCGGCTTGAGGGCTGGGTAAGGAGCTAATCCTAGCAATCCCGGCAGAGTGGCAGGGCTTTCTACAGCGGTTGGGTGGGGTCTCCTTCCTCAGGGTTCCAGGAAGGGGAACCTGGCCCAGGCTCGGGCTGTGCCTGACACCTAGTGGCTTCTTGCTGGGCGCGAGCAGGGGTGGAGGGAAGAGAGGGGGGAGGAACAGCCGCCCTCGAGGAAGCCAGGCGGCCAGAGGGGCTCTTTCTTACACCTCAGCCATTGCGCGCCCCCCACCCAGCACCCCCAGCCCCTCTCTCCCTGCAGGGGGCCTCGCCTGCACCTCTACCGCGGCGAACCTCAGGGCCCCTTTCCCCCGGGCCACCCGGCCAGGTCTGGGTCTGCAGGCGCGCCCTGTGGTCCCCTTCCGGCCGCGGGAGACGCACTCGCCACACGCCCCCCACCTGGCCGTCGGGCCCTCTTGTGCTCCCGAAGGTGCAGAGTCCCAGAAGCCGGCCCTCCAGTCCTGGATTGCCAAGGTTACCCTTCAAACTTCGGGGCTAGAAGGGCTAGATCTCAGGGGGCCACGGTCCTCGCTCCTTGTCCGCCCTGCCTTGTCCCCCAAGGTCGCAGGCCACTACCAGCCTGCGCCGCCCCGCCCCCGCCCACTACCACCCCGCCGCGTGATCCCCGCCGCGTCGCGCCAAGCGCTGCCAACGCGTTCGCCGCCGCCCGGTCGCCATGGCGACGCCTTCGCCGAGCCCGGCCGCCGGAGGAACCGGCCGAGCAGCCCGGGCGCGGCGCGGGGTGGGGAGGACCTCGGGGCCCCGCGCCTGGCCAGGTAGGCACCCCCGCGCCGGCGGGGAGCGCAGGGCGCAGGCGTCCGGGAGGGCGGCTCCAGGTGCGTGGGACCGGGAAGCGGAAGTGGCGGGCCCAGGTGAGCCGGGGCTCGGGCGGGGGTGCGCCCCCAGCCACACCTCCCTCCCTCCCGGGGGCGCCCCGCTCCCGGCCCTGCGCCGGGGTGGACGGGGAGGGGGGGTCCCTACCGAATCTAGAGCGGCGCGGGCAAGTGACCCCGAAGCTAGAGCTCACGGGCCGCCGGCTGGTGTGTCCGGCTGCAGAACAGACTTTCTGCGCCCGGGGAACGCACCCGGGAGGTTCCAGTCGGGTGGCTGGGAGTCGGACTCCGTCCACGGCGGTGAGTTTGGTTTGGTTTCGAGAACACGGTGCAGGGGAAGCGGCTTCCTCGCCATTTGTGACTGTCCTTTTGAAATCTGAGACCAAAATCGCTTCCAAGGTGGCAGGCCGGCCGCGGCCTCTGGGCCCGGAGCCGAGGAAGGCAGGTGGATCTTAAACAGAGGGGAACTAGTTGATCTTTCCGCGCCCTCCTTTAATAAACAGCGCCCAGTTTGGGAAAACCCCGCCCGCGAGTTGCCAGGGTGGGCGCAGAGGGCAGCTGTGGAGGGAGGGGTATCCACTACCTTTGCCACCTGGCTGGGCAGGAGCAGCTCCTGGCTCTGCCTGCCCTCCCCCGAGGGGCCCCAGGGATGTCTTCAAAGGCTGCTACCCCTTCCAGATCTTTCTCCCACCTGCTCTTCTCCCCAACCACTCCCCCTCGGCAGTCTCAGAGGGTGTTCTACACCCACCAAAGTCCCTTCCTAGGAGGCGGGCATTCGTTCCGTGTGTTTTCATAGGGAGCCCCCACAGACTGCCACGATTTCTCCAGTGAAATTTGAGATGAGACCGAGACAGGACCAGCAGGTAAACCCCAGTTTGAAAATCCCTAGGGTGGCCCATATGGACAAAGAGCTGCTGCGGCCCCACCCCGTGGCGGGAGGAGCCTCACCCTGCGAGTCCAGGCTGTCTCTTTGCCCCAGTCTGGCTGCCCTCTCCTGACAGGCCAGCTCCTGAGCTGAGGCCTAGCAGTCTTACAGGGTGTGGGTGGAGCCATCCGGGCAAGCCGCAGCATGGGGCAGTTGGCCTTGCTGGGTGCTGTGAGGGTGCAGACATGCCGGCCGAGGGGCAGCACCCTTGGAGGGTTTTCTTGTCTCTAATCTTACGGAAGCAGTTCGTCAGTGCCACCAGGGCTCCTTGCCTGAGAAATGTCATGCTCCCACAAGTGTGGCTTCACTGGGATATTAAATGTCTCCCGGTGAATCGGTTCGCCAATGGACTTGGTAAGAGGTGAAAAGCTGATGATGCCCGACACTGTGCCCCACTCCAGGGCTTTCTGCTGAGTGGGGGCCATGGTGGGCAGCGGGTGTGGAGGAGAGGGTAAAGCTTGCTGCCCCCACTGGTGGCAGTGGCCCCAACCTTGTGCCCTGTTACGCTGGATTTCGTTTCTGCTGGTGCCCTATCTGAAAGCCAGCGGTGGGGCAGGCATCATGCCAGGCACTTGTACATATGTGTCACACTTCGTATTTACTCATGAGTTCTGGTGGCACCATGGCTAAACTTGGGGCTGACGTGGAAAGGTCCCCAGTTAGAAACCTCCGGCTGCTCCCAGGAAGATAGATGAGACTTTACGCTCCTACGGAGTGCCCGTTTTGGAAACGCACAGGGGCAGTTCTACCCTGTCCCGGAGCGTTGCTGCTGTGAGTCAGTATGTCTCCTCCGTGGTAGTGAGGTTTTGTAGTTTTTAGTGATTGCTCGATCCAGTAAAAGGGGCCTGGGGCGCCGTGGTTATGTGTTCCACTGCTGATCCTGCCACTCCGTGGGTGAAAGAGGTACCTAGTCTGTCTCCGGGAAGATGGACGGCCTCAGGCACCCTATGGGGTAGTTCCCCTCTGTTCTGTGGAGTCACGATGTCCTGGGGTGGGCGAGTCTTAACAAGGCACAGAGCCCACTCTACCTTTGAGGTCAGGCTCAGAGGGGTACGGGAACCCTAAAAGTTCATTTTTCTTCTGACTTTGAACATAAATGGGAACATTTCTGTGGGCCCCCACAAGTCTGGCACGGGCCTCTCGTGCCTCGTGGAAAATCTGGGTGGCCTCCACACTCTGGTTTCTCCCCGGGTGGGGCTGGCAAGAAAGTGCCCACCTTCTAGTTCAGCTCTGGCTTTGCCTTCTCAACCCCTCCTATCCGAGGGTCGCTGAGCTCCCCCCTGTCCACCCCCCTGCCACATACACTCCCTCCGCCCCCTCTCTTGGGCTTTTCTAACTTGGTTAAAGGTGGCTCAACCAGCCAGGCTCCCGCACCTGCTTTCCTGGTGGGTGCGGCCTGCCTGCAGTCTGGCCTTGGTTGGTAATGAGATTAGTCGGCAGCCTTTTCAAGAGCCTCCGGTGGGGAGGGTGCTCAGCTTGCGTAGTAGCTGCTGTCCCAGTCCATCTGCATTAAGCAGAGCCTGACTGCCCTGCCATGGGGCATGCGTGGGGTGGCTGTCACAGCTTCCAGACATGTGTCCCTCCAGCTGTGTGTGTGTGAGAGAAAGAGAGAGAGAGAGAGAGAGAGAGAGAGAGAGGTGGCCCACTTAGGAAGGGAGGACGTGCGTGCTCGCCCACAGGGCCCGGAGTCAGGGGGCTGGTGCTGCCAAAGGAGTAGATGCCCGAGCTGCCAGGGTTTGTGACGTGTGCGTGGGTCAGACTGTCCCAGGTCACTGAGGCACCTGCACCCACCAGCCTGGACACAGCCCCTCCGGTAGCCAAGTCAGCACGGGGAGGGCGGGTGGGGGTGCTAAAGGAACCTGCACTGAGCCTGCCTGTTGGCTGTTGGGAAGCTTTGCCTTTGAGACTCTGAGCCTGAGGCCAGAGGCAGACCCCACCCAGCCCTGGGGGCAGCAGTGTCTCCTGGTTTGGCACAGCCTCTCTCCTGTCACCTTCCAATCAGATGGGGTGGGAGTGGGGGGCACAAGGTTCCAAACCGGTCCTTTATGGCTGGCACCCTCTGGGTGGATGCCGGCTGCTGGCGGCCGGTGTGCGTCCAGAAAGCTGTGTGGTTACGTGGTGGACTGCTATTAGAAAGGTCAGCAGAAAAAAAAAAAAAAAAAGAAAGGTCAGCAGTTCAAAACCTCCATGTGCTCCACAGGAGGAAGGTGAGGCCCTCCACTCCCGGGAAGCGGTTCAGCCCTGGGACCCACCGGGCAGTTCTGCCTGTGCTTTTTATAGCATTGCTTTGAGTCAGAATCGACTGGATGGTTTGGCTTGGGGACTCGCCGCCTGTGGTCCCACCTCTCTCATCCCACCACCTCTCCCCATGAACACGCGCGCACACACTCACCATGCCTGGTGAGCTGGTATGGAAGGCAGGCGACCCTCGAGGCCTGTGCAGGTGGGTGGTACAGGCTCGGAAGGATGACTCAGCCAGGGGCCACTCAGGTCCTGCAGGGCCCAGCGTTCGGGGTGCTCCAGGCAGGGCCCAGGTGAAAATGCCCCACCTTCAGCTTGTAAAGATGTCCAGACGTGCCGGATGGACAGAGTGTGCAGGGCCCTCGGCCAGTCTTCCAAAGACCACCTTCTACCTTGGCAGCACTTCCCAGAGGCCACCTTTCAGCCCAATAATAGCTGGGTCCATTACACTATATCCACCAGCTATGAGAAAGAAGAGGGCCCAGACAGGGAGGGGAGGGAGGGGGGGCGAGCACCCACCCCACCTCATGGAAACGATCGACCAGGAAATTGATTTGCTAGTTCAACATTCACCTAAAGCACAAAGAAATGTTTCTTTTAAAAAGCAGCTGTTGGGGCTGGGGCCAGCAGTCCCACACCTGGGTGGGGACGCACACAGACAGGTGGCAAGAGCATCTCTGCTACACTGACTTTCCATAATGCACCCCCCCCCCCCCAACGTGGAGACCACTCCATCCACAGAGGATGGGGCCTTAAGTAGCTGGGGAGAAGTGGTGACTAGATGCCAGGTGGCTGGGCCGTCCATCCCCCAGGCTGAATGAAACCAGGCTGTCTCAAAGAGACAGATGCGAGGTTGGAGTGGGAATTGGAATGAAACGATGAACTGTCTGGAATTTTGAAGCCCCCTTGTGATCCTGGAAGCAGAGACCTGGAAACCACAGCTCACTCATGGGGACCAGGGGCAGGGGCGGGGAGCGGGAAGGGAGGGGGTCCTTGTTTGGGGGGGCATGACGGTGGGACATTCTGGAGGAGGATGGTGGGAACAGTGGGACAGATGGGTCAGAGCCATAGGACTGTCACTGTGGAAGTTAGAGTTGGCAGAGTCGCTGTGACAGTGTATCTTCATTACCACTGACAGGAACAGAAGAGGCGGTGACTGTCCACCGACTGGTGGCAGAGAGCTGTTCCCTCCAGTGCTTCTGTGTCCTCACTAATCAGATTCCCACTGTGCCTGGCTCCTGGGGGGCGGGGCGGGGACCTGATAAAGGGCAGTGGCAGGGAGGACCGCATTTCCTCCATGGTAGCCAGGTGTTCAGTGCCCAGAAGAGACTGAGCTGTGGCCCTGCCTTCCGGGACACAGAGAATAATGTAAGATGAGTGGGGAGAGCCTGGGGGTGGGTGTGGGTGGGGTAGTCTCTAAAGCCAGGGGGAGGGAGGGCTGGGCAGAGTCCGGTGGAGGTGGGGAGGGCAGCTTCTGGAGGGGCGGGGACACACGGAGCTGAGAGTGCCCGGCCTGGCCTGTGTGTGGAGAGGGCAGATGGAGGAGGTGGGTGGTAGTAGCTCTGGGAAGTGGGGTGTCCTGAATCCATGGATGGTGGCAGTGAGGATGGGCAGGAGGCAGTGATGGCAGGAGCCGGGGCCGGGCGGTGCAGGGCCCAGTGCCAGGGTGTACCTTTGGGGCACGAGGAGGGCAGGCTTGTGGCTAACTGGGGTTGGGGGTGATAGTGGAGCATGGATGCGTGAGCAAGAAGCATTTGCAGGGCGCCCAGCTAGAGACACGATGGCAGGCCTGAGGCTAGAGTTGGGGGGCAAGGGCAGAAATGACAGCAGATTCAGGGGTCACCTGTGTAGAGGCAACAGACAAGGGCAGATGCTAGAGTCCAGAATCCAGAAAAAAGGGGTGAGCCACCTGCCCTGGACGGGTGGGGCAGGGGAATGGTCACTGGCCCCTGCCTCAGGGTTCTGTTTTTCTGCTTAGGGCTGAAAGAGAGCAGTGTGTCATGGTGGCCACACAGTGGCATTGGTGGACAGTGTAGGACAGGGGGTGGTCATGGGCCTGGTGTGGAAAAGGACCAGCCACAGAGAGCAATGCTGGTCAGTTATTAACATGACAAGGGAGATGGACTAGGGGGCTTCAACAATGTCTGGAAAATTCCATTATCTTTCCATCCCATCCCCTTCCCCTCCCCCCGGGCTTTTTGAAGTCCCCAGGTGTATTTGTGAATGAAAAGATAGGCCTGGTGCCCCTTTAAGTGACACTCACAGGTGCGGCCTGGGAGACCACAGCCTTGCAAACTCCATGACCAGAGCAACTGTCCTCCGAGCTCAGAGGGTCGCCCTGAGTCCTGGCATAAAGTGACATCTCACGGTGATGCTAATTTTCCTTTCTGGCACAGCTGGCTGGCAAGCCTGAGCCTCTGCTCCTCTTGTTCCCGCCCCCAGTGTCCTTGTTCAGGGAGGAGCCCTCTTCTCAGGGGCCAGGGATTCCTGTTCCTGCTCCCCCCCCACCCCCGGGCAACGTCTACTCACCAGCTCTTGGTTCGCTTTGCTGCGTCCGGGTTTTACTTGTGACATGATTAAGCAAAGCGATTGTTTGTTCTGTAGCACCCCGTTTACTCTGAGTTAAGCTCGCCCCGCGCCCCCAAATGTGTACCCCTAGATCTTCCATGTTTCATTTTCCCCATTTTGTCTTGTCTATGTGATGAAAGTCCGATTTCAGCTTCTTCCCAGTAAACAGAGTCTTGATGGCCAAGAAAAGGAAAAGAGAGAAACGCGTGCTCCTTGTCTCTGAAAGAGTATTTCTGAGGACAACGGGATGTGAGGGTCCAAGTCCAAATGTGACCACGCGGCCTCACCTGACTTGGCCACCAGGATGCGTGTGAACAAGCTTGGCTTCTTAAAGCTGCCAGAGCGGCAGGGGAGCTTGCGGGCTGAAGGCAGGGTTGGAGGCCACCCCTGTGGGGGCTGCTCACCCCTGACGTCTCTGGGCTCACTCACAGACGCAGCTCAGGGTTGCAGGGGGTCTTCCAGGGGAGGGGATGTGTGGGGTGCGGAGCTGGGGAGCCCTTAGGGAAGGGAGGTGGGTCTGGGGCCCTGTGGGTGAGGAGGCCGGCGACCTGGGCCAAGCTCTGCCTGTGGGCTTGCCTGAGCAAAGCTAGAGGGGGCTGGGTCTGCCTGTGGCTGTCCCTTCCCCTCTCTCCTCAGCCCTTGACGTCTCCTGGCAGTCCTGTCACTGTCCCCAAGGGATCACTGGGCAGGGAGAGGGCTGTAAAGATGGGTGTGGGCCAGGCGGCTCCCCTGTCAGCACCGCTCTCCTGGGCTCCCTCTGTGACCTGGCAGGAGGGCTTTCTCCCACCTCCTCGGCCTCCATTTCCTGACCAGTAAATGGACTGTTTGCTGCCCCAGACACACTCCAGGCGTCCTCTTCCTGGCTCTCATTGGCTGGACCTTCAGTGTGGATCCCGGCCTGAGAGAGCATGCAGCTCAGACCCGGTTGACCTCATCTTCCAACCTGTCCTGGGCTTGGAGTGGAAAAAAGGAGAGAAGGGAGGGGTCTACTGGGTGGCTCCTGCCAGGCACTGAGGTTTAGGGCATGGGCTGGCAGCCTTTGCAGGCTCTGTGGGTGGGCGCTCACTGCTGCAGTCTCTGGCCTGGAGCTTAACAAAGGGGGTGGGGGTGGAGTGGGATGAGGGGAGGTGGGCTCTCCATTGCACCTCATGACCCATCTGGGGTTGTGCCCTTGGGGAATTTCTGAGGTCTCTGTCATTTACTGTCAACCCCACCTGGGAGCACCCAGGGCCTCACAAGGTAGAACAGATAGCACAGGTCCCACCTGCCACCATGGCTGGGGGTGTCTTTGCTTGTGTAGCAAGCTCCTGGTTTCACAGCCAGGCACGAGGTGCGTCTCTGGGCTGCCAGACCATCCCTCTCAACGACTGCCAAGACTTGCCAAAGGCATGGGGGGCGGGGTACTCCCGAGTCCTGAGCTCTGCTCTCTCCCCAGCAGCTGCCTCACCATGGAGAGCGGAGCCAGCACAGCCGCCCCTCCCCGAACGCTGCCATACTGGGTGACCTTCTCCCAGCTGCTGGGTCTGACCGTGGTGGCCATGACAGGCGCCTGGCTTGGCCTGTACCGAGGTGGCATCGCCTGGGAGAGCGCCCTGCAGTTCAATGTGCACCCTCTCTGCATGGTCATAGGCCTGGTCTTCCTGCAGGGTGATGGTGAGTCTCAGAAGGCTGTGTTCCCGAGAGACACGATTTGCACGGACCCTGTCACCTCATCCCCCCACCCCCAAAGAGCCCTGGTGGCATCATGGTTACACACTGGGCTGCTAGCCACAAGGTCAGCAGTTTGAAACCACCAGGCCCTCTGTGGGAGAAAGATGAGGCTTTCTACTCTATAATGAGTTATAGTTTATGAAACCCACAGGGGCTAAGGGTCACTATGAGTCAGAATTAACTCGACGGCAGCAAGTATGGTTTGTCACACCCAGGTCTCTGAGATTCCAGAAAAGAGAAGGGAGGCGGGCTGGAGCTGGGGACACTAGGCACCCAGCCAGGGGTTCCTGAGGCGGGGGTGGGGTGGCGTGGGGGGTGGCAACTCGTCTGCCTGTCCCAGCACCTGCACTCTTGCTTTAAGGAGCAGGAAGGTGGCACAGGCCATGGGGTGGGGTGCTTGGGGCCTGGCTGGGCCACACCAGGAGGCGGGCGGCTTCTTCAGTGGAGAGATGTGTGTGTGCCTGTGCAGAGGCTGGGCTTGGCTGAGCTAGAGCACCTCCCCAGCTGGGGTGGGGCTGGGGGGTGGGGCTTAGCCTCCATCCTACCTGGAGGCCACAGTGGTCCTCTTGACCGGTAACTAGAAAGCTGGGGGCTGTGTCTGGTCCACTTGTTCTTTATATCCCCTTTGCCACCTGACCCCGCCAGCAAGGGCTGCCTCACTGGGGAAGCCAGGCTCCACTTTGGTTCTGAAGCAGAGAGCCTGCTGGTGAACATGGTGGCAGTCTGACCAGGCTTCAGTGTGGGGACTGCTTGGGGACGCACCCACCTAGATGCGTGGGCCACCTCAGTGTGATTGCACAGTGGCACTGGGATGGGCAGGGACTTGCCGGGAGTCCCGCTTGGGGTGGGGTGCATGTTGGCTACCTCAGGAACTGGGAGGCCCCCTGGCCTCTAAGCAGATGGGTAGGAGGTGGTGGATGGATCTGGGTGTCCAGACCCACACAGCCAGAGTGCGATCTCCGAGGCTGGGAGCTCCTGAGGGGCTGAGGGTGGGTTTCCAGCGTCTGGGATACCTCCAGGTCCTGGCAGCATCATGGTTACACACTGGGCCGCTGTCCATACGGTGTTCAGTTTGAAACTGCCTGCCGCTCCTCGGGAGACACACAGGACTTTCACTCCTATAAAGAGTTAGAGCCTCTGAAACCCACGAGGGCAGTTCTACACCGTGCTGTAGGGTCATTTGGAGTTTGGTTTGGGTTTGGGAATACCTCTGTAGGCCCCCAGCTCGGCCTCCAGCTCCCACCAGGGTGGGTCTTCTTGCTGCTGCAGCAGGGGGAAGGTCCTCAGCACAGGCTAATGGACTTTCTCCCCTTCCTCCCTCCTGTCCATAAGCCCTGCTGGTTTACCGTGTCTTCAGGAACGAGGCCAAACGCACGACCAAAGTTCTGCACGGGCTGCTGCACGTCTCTGCCTTTGTCATCGCCCTGGTGGGTGAGTTCCTGGCCCGGCCTGAGAGGCAGCCACTCCATGTGTGAAAGCTTGGGGGGTGTTCCTGCTCCCCAGTCCCTCCAGGCACCCTAGGCAGGGGATTCACGGTACTGGCAGCCAGAGCTGGGATTGGGGCCCAGGCGTCCTGACCAAGCGGTTCCCCTTGGGTCATTCCCTCCTCTCCCTTTTCCAAGTGCAGCCTCGACCTCTCGTGACCTGTCCTCTCTGGTCTAGGTGTGGTGGCCGTGTTCGACTACCACAGGAAGCAAGGCTATGCCGACCTCTACAGCCTGCACAGCTGGTGTGGGATCCTCGTGTTTGTCCTCTATTTTGTGCAGGTGAGCCCTTCCAGCCCTTCAGGTTCCTGGGCCACGACCCAGGATTGGGGGGTGCGGGTGGGTGGGGGTGAGAGGCCATTGTCCAGCGAGTCCCAAAGACACAAGAGTGGCTTTAGCAGTTGGATGCAGCCCTCGATTGCAAAATGGGTACAGAACAGGATTTTAGAGCAGTGGTCAGTTAGATCCCAGCTGGCTGGCAGAGCACACGACTGGTCATGCCCTGTCTTCTAAGCACGTGAATATGACGATGGGTGGAGGGGTGGCAGCCTGGAATGCCTGGGGGCCCACCCTCTCTCCTGAGTGCTCGGTGCAGCCCCTGTCATGGCTCTTAGATTGGAGAAACCGAGCAGATAGAGGGGGAGTTGGCAGCCTCCATTAGGAAGCGGCTGCTTTGGGCATCCCCTCGGATGGCCAGCTGTTGGCCAGTGGGAGGCGCCCAGCCTTGCCAGGCCCGGGCACCACCTCTCTTGTCCTTCCAGTGGCTCGTGGGCTTCAGCTTCTTCCTGTTTCCTGGAGTTTCCTTTTCCCTGCGGAGCCGCTACCGCCCACAGCACATCTTTTTCGGGGCCACCATCTTCGTCTTTTCCGTGGGCACTGCCCTGCTTGGCCTGAAGGAGGCACTGCTGTTTAAACTTGGGTGAGATTGAGAGCCCCCCCCCCCCAAGTCACCTGGGCCCACAAAGCGCCGGCTTTCGGAGCTCTCTCTCTCTGTGGGGGTGGGGGCAGTGGGCTCTGGCCTTGGGAGACCGCCAGGTTCTTTCTGAATGACACTGGTCTAACTGCAACCCCTTGGGTGGCTTTCCCCTTCGGCCTCGCCCTCCAGGGCCAAGTACAGCACATTCGAGCCGGAGGGCATCTTGGCCAATGTGCTGGGCCTGCTGCTGGCCAGCTTCAGCGTGGCTGTGCTCTACATCCTGACCCGCACCGACTGGAAGCGTCCTCCCCAGGCTGAAGAACAAGCCCTCTCAATGGACTTCAAGACGCTGACCGAGGGAGACAGCCCCAGTCCGCAGTGACTTGTGTGCAGGGCGGCCTCCTCCTGGCCAGCGGGCAGGTTCTGCTGGCTCTTCAGCAGGATCAGGGGCTCCGGGGAGAGGACCTCCTTCCTGCAGGGTGGCCGGGGAATGGGGTACACCTGTCTTTCAGAGCTAATTTCAGGGGGATCGTGCTTGTCCTCCCGCTGCTCTCTCTTCTCACTGCCGCTTTAGACTAGCTCTAGTCGTCACGCAAAGGTCCCTGCACCTGCTGTCCGTCCCTTCCAAAGGAGAAGGCTTTGGGCAGAACAGCTCCCTACTGGAGACCGAGGCTGGGCCGCCTGAGGGCCTCCCGTCACACCAGCAGCCCTGTCCTTTGGCCCTCGGTCTGAGTGACATTATGTGTAAACTATGTTCAGAGGTTCCCCAGGAGATGGGAGGAGTGGGCCCCTCCAAGCACAGCTGTCTTTCTTGGCCCCACAGCAAGCCCTGTTCCCAGAGGGTCCCTGCAGGGGCTGCTCTGCCAGCCTGCGGGTCTGGGCTGGGGCAGCAGTGCTCTGCCAGGCCCGGCTTCGGTTTTCTCATGCCCTCGTTTGATGGGCAGCCTCCTGCTTCTGTCGCGGAGAGAGGCCTCTCCTCCCTGCCGACCCTCCTTGGAGAGAGGAGGTTCTCGGCGGTGGCTGGGTGGTGTCCTGACACCCCCAGGCCTGTGAAGGGTGTGGCGCTGAGTCACTGTTTGCCGCTGTCCGGAAATAACGTGATGAGAGCATTGATCTTGTGCTTTTCAGACTTGGCGAATCTGCTTCTTGTTTTCCCTTTTCTGGAGTTTCAGGCGATGACATAGTTTGAGGCAGTTCACTGGAGGCATTAATAAAGGTCCTGAATTTTACTATGGTTCTTGTAATGGTTGCCCTTTGCACCCCCAAATGCTGTCTTAGGTAAGTGGGCTAGTCTCTGCTAAGGCTTGACTTCCAGCCACCTGTTTGCCCATGGGCCCTGCTGCCTCTGCTACCCGTCTTCGGCCGATCCTGCAGCCTGCCCAGGCAACGATGGTGTACATAGCGTTAGGCCAGGGCAGGCGCCCTGGCACACAAATGTTGACACGTTAGAACTCCTCCACGTAGACCCACTGCCAAAGCACAATGGTGCATGTCCCCTGCCAGAAGGCCACTTAGAGAAATGGCACCTTAGATTTGCAGTAAAAGTTGAAATGAGTCTGTTTTCCCGTGTGTGTGTGCGTGAGAGAGAGAGAGAGAGAGAGAGAGAGAGAGAGAGAGAGAGAGAGAGAGAACGAGAACGAGAAGCCCAAGGTGGCCCAATGGCAGATCTGGAGTGGTTTATTCCGCCTGTAGCCCATCTTCTGTGAAATACAATGTGCTGCCCGTGTAACAGATGATTCAATAAATGTCTGCTGCAAACCTCTTGCCTATTAGCTTCATTTACTGTGGCAATAAAAGGAGCCAGGGCTTTTAGATGTCCCGGCTGGGGGGTTGAGAGAAATTAAATAGCCGCAGGCTGAGCACAGAAGGTAACGTGATTACTGCCATTGATCATGGTGCAGGGTCTGAAGTGGCCCTGGCTTGTCCAGTCTCTGTCCCCAATCAGATAAAGCCTCTTCTCAAACCAGAGAGAATGACTCTGGCCCTGAGGGTGGCGCTGCAGGTGCCCGATGAGGCCCCTGACGAGTCGTTTCCCTCTGCTTTCAATTGGCGCTTTTCCTTTTACAAATCTTTGTTTCTCATTAAGAGCCAAGCTTTCAGAATGAGCAGGGACTGCACTTTAGACCCACTTGCACGGCTCGGGCTAGAACTGGGTTTGTGGTACATTAGTGTGCACCTGGTTCACTGTGGGCTCTGGGGAAGCAGTGGCTCCTAAAACCAGCCCAGGCGATGTAGCCCAGGCCGAAGAGACTGGGATTTCTAAGATGTGAGCGCACTTGAACAAACACTGGAAGGAGAAAAACTGAGTCAAAAGCCTTGGAATGGGAGACTTAGAAAGAGGTGCAGTGAGTCCTTGCGGAAGCCTGACGTGGGGGTGGATCTTCGTTAGGACTGTGCAGTGGCACACATTAGCTTTCAGCTGGGTACCACTGTTTTAACTCTGCAGCTCGAGAGGTATGGTTTTTATGCAACCTGCACACTACCCCTAGGGAGATTGTAATTTTCCCCCCATACCTGTACACCCATTTTTCCCCCCTTTAATAACACTTTTCTAAGGGACCCTCCGGCCCGGCTATCAGAAAGAACAGTATCGGGGGACTTAAAGGTTTGTCTTAAAGCAAGCGACCATCTAAGTGAGGCTTCAACTAAATCCACAAGGATGAGAGCACGCCAGCCTATGTGACCCATAAGCTGTAAATAATAAAACCTAAATCCAGAGGAGGGAGTGGTATCAGAACTTGGATTGTGAACACCCAGTTTGCGGAAGGCTGTGGATGACACTGGAAGCCTAAAACTCATTTTCTGGGTCCTCACATGGATTAACCCTCTGGTGCCTCCCCAGGACCTGGGGGGTGAACAGTCTTGCTGTCAGACAGAGCACGTAAAGTCGATTGTGGCAGGTACAACTAGATTAAAATGTAGTAACGATCATTTGATCTGCCTTTTGAGCCATTCTAAAATTTGTTTTTAATATTTTGGTTTGGGTTGAGGATTTCCTGTTTTGTTTTTTCCAGTCACTGTTGTTGCTTTTTGTTTGCTTCCTCTGTTTTGTCGTTTTCTGTATATGTCCAGGGTAGGTAGGCCGAGAGAGAGTACTGGGCTGATAACTGCCTAGGCTCGAGGGGCATGGCAGAGGATGGGAACTAAGGAGTATGAGTAGAAAATGCTCTGAAATTGATCGCGGGGAGGATTGCACAGATCTTAATATGATTGATTGAACTAAGCTGCATATGTGGAGTACATGCCAATAAAATGATTAATAAATTAAAGGAACAAGGGGGTCCTGCCACAGACCCTCTCCTAAGGTAAACCGTTCTTGTAGAACGTGGATGTAGTCTTTGCTTTCAGGGTTGGACCTGGTGTCCAGTGCGTATGGGCTGGAGCTGGAGGCCTGTTCCCCATGCAGCTGTCGTCTCCGGACTCAGAGCTGCGCTCTGGACCTCACTGTACACGGCCGGTGATACTGCGGCCTTCCAGTCGGTGCCGGCTCAGAGGCACCTGCATACAGCACCGGCTGGTTCTGCACCATCCTCACAGTGGTTCTGAGTCTGAGCCCACTGTTGCAACCACGGTGTGAACCCACCTTGTCCTAAGTCACCAATGGACTTTTCAGTCGAGACTGGCCAGAGGGCCCTCGACCTTGTTAACCATGCCATCTTACTTCTGGCTTTTTGGCTGACCTGGCCACTCTCCTCGGCTGCTTTTGACTATTCAGAACCGCCCTGGGGAGTACACTGGCCTTCCCTCCTTCCCATGTCTCCTCCCTGGAGCCAATGGAACACGATGGGAGCGCAGCCTCTGAGGACCATCCACTCTTCTAGCTGTGCAGAGAGGGTGGGCTGCCCTCTCCCATTCCTGGGACCGGGAGTCGCCAAGTCACACTCCTTCAGTTTTGTTTTTAAAGCTAAGCGATGACACTTCCCTCCCACTGCCTGCCCATGCCCAGCCTGGTGAAGGGCAGAGCGGCTCCCCACAGGCACCTCTCACAGGGGCACCCCGGTCAGAAGAGCTACTGGGAAGCAAGGAAAAGGAGGCGGAAAAGGCTCTGGTTCAGTAATTCTGAGAAGTTACACGGGTCCCTAGCTGAGTCTCTTCTTTGTACCAAGTGTTTTAGTCAGGTTCAAGGTAAATTCCTTTCAAAAGTCAGCTTTTTAGGAATCACTTTCTTCGAAATAGCTTGGGCATCTTTAGAGGAAAATGTGCTTCCTGCCAACCAATTATTGCTGAGTTGTAACGAAGTACCTGGGGAGGCCTAGGACTGGCTCTGCAAGTCCTCCGTGCTGGCTCTGGTGTCCATGCCCTGGGCTCTTCCTGAGTCCCCGGCTTCAGTTGTTTGGGGAAATGGCTGCAGTTACAGGCCAGGACTGTTTGTTTAGCACGATATGGAGGAAGTGGTCTCCTTCCTGGCTTGTCCCTGAAGTAGACAAAGAGGCAGCTTCAGGGCAGGAAAGGCTGCCGGGCTCAGTGCCGGCCACTTTTGGTAAGGTATTGAAGTCTCCAGCAGTTCCAGGAAGCCTGCAGTCCTCTCGATGGCGAGGAGAAATCCAAGCCAGATTCCAAAGGGAGAATAAAGCCACAACAACAGAGCAGTGGGCCTTGAGCATGGTGGACCAAGCAGCCCTCGGGTCTACGGCTAGGACCGCCTCCCCACTTCAACCTTGGGCGAGGGCAAAGGAGCTGGGCTGTAGTACCGCTTGGGCTACTGAAATGAAGCAAGAAGTGCACACTGGTTCCCTGGTATGGCTTTAGAAGTTCTTCCCCTGAAGAACAAGCCCCCCTTCCTCACTGGACGCAGTGAGCCTCGGCTGATGGGCCCCTGAACAGTCTTCTCACCCACCGTCAAGGGCCCTCCGTGGAGTGCCCTCGGTGAATACACGGGTGTGCGGGAGTGACTGTCTATCTAGAGTGCGGCTGTCACCTGCCAAACCCTGCCCTGGAGGTGGTGGCACTGAAGGGAAAAGCACCACAGTGGCCACGTTTTCCCAAGTGTTAGCCTTTATAAATAAGTACATTTGCTTCATACACACAGTTCATTGTACAGATGACAATCTGTATACATGGGGCAGGAGAATGCATTCATTTAAACTTCACATCTATCTCACACAGCTCACGTGTACAGACAATAAAATTGCTCAAGCAAGTACAGCAAAGGGAAATGTCTTTCCTTAGACACAGGGGGCTGGACGCCTCTGCTGGGCGCGGGGCACCCCATGGCACGAGTTCACAACTGTGTGGTGCTCACTATATTGGGGTGGAGAACAAACATGCATTGGGCAGTATACTGTACAGAGAAAGTCCTTTACATCTGAGATATAGAAAACCTAAAGGAAAACTAAGTGCATTAAAGCTTTTCCAGCAAGTGTCTTCAAAGGACAGCAAGGAGGAGTTAGAATCAAAATCATATTAGTACAAATCACTCTTTAAGTGTACATGTCTGTACTAATGAAAATCATCTTGGATTTTGAGGAGACAGAACAGAGACAAAGATGCTGTGCTAGAATGGAGAGGAGGCCATGCCTGAGAATGGCACCCACCCTGAGCTGGACCAGGAGCTGGCCCCTCTCAGCAGGACTCAGCCAAAAAGGGGGTGGGGGGAGGGGGAAAGAACCCAAAACAAACAGAAGAAGTGTTAGTTTACAGGCTTCCCAAGCCACCTGGGAGTAAAGTGGTGCCCTCCAGCCAGCATCTCTCTCCAGGTCCCCCACTAAGTTGATAGACAATAAGGCAGGTACATTCAAGTACTAAAGTTTTCAGAATGAACCGTATCTGGTCCTGGGGGCTGACATGACCGAGTGCCCTATGCCAGTATTTTTTGTTAGCGATTAGCAAAAGAAAAACTGGGTTAGCAAGAGCTACAGGACAAAGCCACAAAGCGATGTCCTTTCCAGAGTGGGTCTATCTGAAAAAATGAGCGCCACGTGGGCCTGCATCTAGTGGCACCCAGCTACAACCTGACAGCTCAGCTTAGTGTGGACATCACAGAGGCAGCAAGGGGAGCAGGGGTAAGGGGGTGGGGGATGAGATGAGATGGGTGAGGAAATGGGAAAGTAACACTTGATTTTTGGTGTCCAATTACGCACTCATTTGGTACCGACTTTCAAAGCTCTGACTGTGGTTGCAGGTAGCCACAGCATCTCATGGTGGTTCAGCTGCTGCGAGGCACTGGACACTGTAATGAAGGTTCTCGACACTTCAGCCCTTGAGTGGTCTGTATTACAAAAGTTGATGAAGACCCAGCGATGATTCAAGTAGCTCTGCACGGTGGCTCCACCAGCCCCACTGGGCTTGGGTCCGGGCCCCCAGCCAGCTAGTCAGCCACCTGTTCTCGGGAGCAGCCAGAGCTGAGTTCAAGGCATTGCATGGTGAAGGTTTCCATGACACGTCTTTGTAGGTAGCTCTTACCCCTAAGCCCTTGATTCAATATGGTTAGTCATGGCGGGTGGTCTGGAATCCCTAGAGGAAAAAGAGAAAGAGCCTCACTTCCCCTGGAGCAGGGGATGGGGCAGCGTGGCCCTAGGTGTAGGAGCAGCAGCAGGCTGGCTTCTTGAGAAGTGGGCAGCCTGAGAACTGACAGGTGGGGTGGGCGAGTCTGCTGAGGAGCCTGGGCATAGGAGTGGGCACGTGCTACCCACAGGGAGTGGGGGTGGGGCACGGGCACCTGTTCTGCTTTGTGGCAAAGATTCAGGGAGCAACTGTTTTGTCCAAGGCATTTCTGCAGTAGAAAAATAATTCTTTCTGAATCAAACCCCATCCAGTCGTGATACCTGTGGAACTACGAGAAGAGCCGAGGAGGGGTGAAAGGTCCTCTCCATCTGCCCGAGAGGGTGGGACTTCTACTCAGCTTCGGCCTGGCTAAAGGTCCAAAGCAGGTCGTGTTCAAAGAGCTGGTCTTCCCACCTGTCTGGCAGAGATGCTGCCCTGTAGAGCCACAGTGACACCTAGTGGTAAAGTATGGTGAAACACAGGGCTCGTCCACACGGCTAAATTCTAAGGAAAAATACTTATGGATATTAAATTAGATACTGATTACTTTTTTTCTATTGGATACATCTCTGGAATATAAAAATACCAATATTTAGAGAGGGCGGGATTCATAAACTATACAATATAAGGACTTGTGAACACCATTCCCTTAAGCTGTCCTGTTGACAACGATTTAGGGAAAGTGTTCAACCATCCAGGCTTAACTGAATAGCAACTTGCCTATCTGGACAACGACCTGGGGGACTGTACATGATTCTAATGAGTGGAATTTTCCTGAGCCATCGAGTTTACGTTAAACACATCGAAGGGGGAGGCGGACGTGGGGGAGGGTCTGTGCACTACTGACTGGGGACTTGCAATAGAGCAGAGGGGCAGCAGCAGCAGATACAAAATGGCCTCCCTTTTGTCCAGGCCGAGTTCTCAGGTTACACAGGTGTCCCTTTGTCAGTAAATCTTAGTTTTCCTTGTGAACTATGTGCCTTACTGATCCAGTAAATAAAGTACCCAGGTCTCAGGAGTCCCTAAGAAAATTGCTGGAAAAGCACTTTAAAATCACTGCAATTTTTTTCTTCTGTATTTAAAAATTCTGAATCTTTTTTGATGCTTATGTACAACAGTTATTTCTTGTGCTATAAGTGTTATGTTCCACTGCTTGATTTCTTTCTTTTCCTCTTTTTGTTCTTGAAAAAGCACACACGAAAAGACAAGAGTGGCTCTGCTTATTTCTAATGAAGACCTAACTTAACACAAAATACCAGTATGTGTGTTAGCAAGTCAAACAGAAAAGTGCACCCATTTGTAGACGGGACGGAAACCCACCAGTGCAAGGACTGTGGGCAACGGGAACATGTCAGTGGGTGGGGAAGCTGCAGGCTGGAGCGAGACCCCAGTCTCCACATCAGGGTGGTGTGGATTGGTGAACAGGATTGAATAATTCCCTCTCCAAGGGAAGTCAGACGCTGCTTTAGCAAGTAGAGCTGGGGGGTGGGGCACTCTAAAGCAGGTATCAAGATTGTCCAAGGGCAGTGAAGGAGCACACTGGGCACACAGGTAGTCTGCTTACAAGGAAGTGGCTGTCTCTTGCCCCAGTAAGGGTCCAGTTAGCATTGTTTGTTCAAAATATCACAACTGGCGCCCAGTCATGATATCCACTCCCTCTTATGATAGCTTAAAAACAAACAAAAAGACCCCGAGAAAGCATTTTGATTGTTGACACTGTAGGTCTTGTTCAATAGGGCACAGACCTAAGTCAGTCTCCTGCTTGCTCCAGAAAACGGAGAACCCTCTGAGAGAAGTGGCAGCACTTCCCAGCCTGCCTAACAGGGGAGTGCAGGTGGCAGGGACACCTTCCTAAGAGACACACGACAGCATAGCAGCTCCTGGGTGAGAAATGGTGGCTCAAGGGGGGAAGATGATGAGATTCACAGGGCTGAGCTGACAGGCTGCTGGGTCCCAGCTAGATGCTGCTGCAGCGGGTGCACATTTCACCTCAGAGAGTGGCAGAAGCCAGGAGGAGGAGGAGGGGGCAACACTGATGCCCACCCAAGGGTCTAGTTGAGTAGGAGACAGTCCTGAAGCACCAGAGCAAGCGGGCACTTGAGCGAGGCCGAGAAGGGCCTGGATCTGGAGTCAGCACTCTGCTCATTTCCAGCAGACAAGGCTGGTGCCAGGCTCGGGGTACAGGGGTCCGTCTATAAGGGCAGACTCCGAATGAGCAATGTCCCTGACCTCAGCTTCACGGTTCTCCAGTCTCAGAATCCTTTCAGAGGGCACTTACTATAATAAGCAGTGTGGACACATCTGGATTTGTATTTAGAAAGCTGCCCTGCCTGTAGCCCTTTATGAACAAGAACAGAATGATGCTCACGACCAGAGAATAAATTCTCTTCTGCTTAGTCATAGCTGTTTGGTGAAATTGTTTAGTTTTAAGAGTGAGGCCTGAGGTGCTGGACCTTCCTTCTTATCGAATGCTGCCCTCGGTCACACAGAGGTCAGATTAACAAGTGACCACAGATGGAGAAACGGTGTGGACAGTGACTGGACCAGAAAACCCGTCTATCTTCTGTGCCCCCATCCTCATCTGGAAACAGGGCCAAAGGGTCTTTCTTCACCCTGGGAGCCATTTTTGCTGTGTCTGGTTCCAAACATCACCCTGGAACAAACACGCCTAGAACAGAAACAGTTCTTGTACACGAGAAACAACCTAGCTCTAGGGAAGGACTGCAGGGCACCTGGGCAGAAACTCTGGGACTCAGTCTAAGAACTCTCAGAGAATTCCATTTGCTTCCCAAAGAACGTTTCTTCCCTCTACCCCAAGGTCATGAACAAAGGGGGCCGGCCAAACGAAGTCTGACTTAGGCTGAAGGGCTGATTCACAGGACAGGATTACTGCACAGACAGCGCTGGGGATGGCTTTGCTTTTGGGGGACGGTGATGCACAAAGTCTACAGTGCAGGTGCCTCAAAGAGATTTCCTACAGCATCCCTTGAAAATATAGAACCATTCTTTTTCTTCCTTTTGTCCCATGTATTTATTTATCCCTCAGCCCACTCCATGGAAATCAGCAACTTTGAATGGTTAATTATTGGATAAAAATCTAGAGAGTTCTTCTCAGTGACTTATTTTTAAAATTCCAGGTCCTCATCCAATTTCCTTGGCTGAGTGAAATATTTCGAGGGCTGGCTCGTTTCTAAATGTTTCTGAAATGCCTCATGGAAAATTAATGGAGTGACATTTTAAACAACTATACATGTATTTTTTCTTCTTCTGCGGCTTCTCCTGATTTCGTAGATGATTCTCCCTCTCTATGCTCTCTCCTTTGCCACCCCCCCTTCCCCCCCCCCCAGTCATCTCAATGGGCATTCTGCATGTGGTGGCTGGGGGAGCTGGCAGCAGGGAGACAACCACTGGCACAGAACGCACTGGGCCTGGCAGCGTGGAGCACACTGGAGAAGAACACAAGGGCAGAGGGGCATCACAGTCTCGCTAAAGTTCCTAGAAGAAAACAAACGTCTTATTTAGGGGGGAAAGTAAGAAGGAAAGGAGAAAGACATCTACACAACAGGACATCAGTGAAAGCGATTGTCTCCTGGAAGCAGCTGCCCAGTGTGTCTGATCGCCCTGGTTAAAGCACATTGAACAGAAACCTCCTTGTTGGCATCCAGAGGGGGAGAGAATGAGGTGGGGGCACAGACGAGAGAGACTGAAGTCCTGGACCCCGGGAGGCCAGCTTCCCAATCGGCTGCATGCAAAGGATTTTAGCATGTGGGCTGCCACCTCTGCACACCACACAGAACTACATGTGAAATTAAGCCAGAGACTACCTGGAATGTGGAAACCAAGCCTGAAAATGTGCAGTGGAAACATGGATCTCACTCCAACAAATGTCTCTCAAACATTAGACTCCACAAATGGTCTCTTTGGTTTGATAGGAGAGGTCTGCCCTTGCCGAGAGTCCCGAGACAACTGCCTGTACAGGTTGTCCTGATAAGCCTGAGCCACAGGGAGGGTCCGAGCCACTTTCACATCGGGGTACGAGGACGCCTGGCTGACTCTCTCCAAGAGGTCTCCCCGGGACCCGTTAGCCAGCATCCCATGGGGGCTATAGTAATCGTCCTCCAGCAAGTGGCCGTTCTGTGCATTGTTGGTTTTGTTATAAAAGGCAATGTTGCTGATGGGTGATGGTGGACTGAAGGACTCAGGCTGAGGCAGGTTGCCTGGCGATGTGGGGCTGAGAACGGTATCCACTGACGACACTGCCCAGGTCCGATTCTGCTGGTGAAGGTGGGGGTACTGCTGAGTCCGAGCGGTTTTATCTATGATCCCCATGAATGGTGTGGTCCTGGATCTCGTGGGCTCGCTGGGGTAACCTCCCTGGGTGGGAGACACTGGTGACAACTCGTCGCAGGACCTATCATAAGCCGGTTTCAGTGGGATCTCCATTTGCTGAATGGAGGAAGATGGCCGGAAGGTTGGTGTTAGGTTGGAGGCCGATGAGATACTATTGCTCGATGGAGAGAAGCGCAGGCCTACACTCTGGGAGTGTAGCAGAGGCCTGGGAGTTGGTGGGTGGGGTTTGATTTCATTAGGATTGACACTAATAGGTCTTCTGATTAAATGTGACACATCAGGGGAACCTAGTTGGCTGGAGGAACGTTCCAGATCTAACTTTGAGTGGCACACTGGGTAATAGGATGCTGACTGGCTACGCCCAATCTGGGGGGTCTGACTGTATCTCATGCCACCTCGGTATGCTGAGGAAGGTCGTTGTGGAAGATCTTCTTTGGTCAACCCTCCATGCTGACAGATGGCACCTGCACTTAGGCTGGCTTGGACGTGCTGCACGGGTCGCCCATCCCCTACAATTCCCCCAATTGATCCCTGATAAACTAACCGGCTCTGACTGACTCCCATGTCGCCTTGTGAAGACTGGTATTTACTAGCCATTGAATGGGCCACTTGGCCATAGGTGCCGGTGGGGATGACAGTGCTTGAATGGACTGCTGAGCTGGGCTGGTTGCTTCTTACGATCTGAGCCTTAGCAGGCTGTAGCCTGAGCCCTTGCTGGGGAACTGCCACCGGAAGCGGAGGCATCTGATAGGGTCGCTGGGCCATTTTTGATAATGGAGATTTTGGTCTGCCAGGAAGCTGACTAACATTTGCTTCTTGCTGATACCGCACGGGTGAACCAGACTGGGACCTATAGACACTCATGCTTTCAGCTGGAGGGCTGGCTCGATACTGAGGGCCCCTACGGAGAGGAGAAGGGGGGGGACTTGGGTAGTCTTTGCCTTGCCCTCCCATAGGAGGGGGGCTGAAACGGTAAGATCCACCCTGATGAGCTGGGGAAGTGTGTGGTGGGCTAGGCCTGTAGTGAGAGTTCTGGTGCGTTGGAGAAAGAGCAGGCGAGGTGGACTGATAGCCCTGTCTAGTGGGAGAACCTACAGAGCTGCTGGACCGGAAGTCAAACACTTGATGAGAGCCAAGAGGTGAGCCAGAGATGTAGGTGGACTCCCGATGGGCTGGAGAGGTGGGTGGGCTCTGGATTATTGGAAGGCCCTGAGTCGGCCGAGCCTCCGTCTGGAGGCCAATGGAAACGTTGTCGACATCCTGCTCCAGGTACTCCTCCTCAAACATGTCTTGCACAGAGTATGTATCTTCATGCTGTGGTTCAGGCTCTGTTTCTTCTGGCAATTGCTGCTGGGGCTGCGGCTGCGGCTGCTGCTGCTGCTGCATCTGTCTACATTCTTCCTCCACTCGCATCAGAAGTCTCTGGATCTCACGGTTGTTTGGACATAGCTTGATGGCCTCGTTCAGGTCCTCTAAGGCTGCTGCAAACTGTCTGCTTGACAAAATGCAAACACAGGAACTGGAGTTATTCTGAATCAACAGGAACCATCAAGAACTGAGAACATAGTCGCTATTATAGAGAACTGTAGTGGCATCTGTGGGTGTCTGGGATTTGGTTTAGTTTGATTTGTAAGGAAGGAAACAGGCAGGCTGTCATTCTAGAAGAGTCCAGAATGATTTCCGAGCCCATTAAGCCTCCATCTTCCTTCTGGCCTCTCTGGGATCAGTGGAGAAATGTCCCCATTGTGCAGTCCAGCCAGGCCCTTCAGGAAGATTCTCTCAGTGCCCAAATGCACACCAGCCAATATGGGGGTTGGGTGGGGTTGTCATTTACAGGGTCACTGTCAAGTAGCTTAGGAACAAAGCAGTAACTACAATATTTAAAAATCTTGCTGATCCAGCAGAAATTTTTCTTTATAGTCTCAACATTTTGGCTCCAAATTTCAGGCCTGTTCCATCCTAGTCAAGACTCTGTCCTCTGCTCTCTCTACCCCTGAGCCCCACAGCACTGCTGCATCTCCATTCTGCAACATCGCAGCTGGGCAAATGCCAGGCTTACTGACTAGGCAACGCGGGTCCGGAGCTGAGGAGGTCCCACGGAGATTCTAGTTTACAAGTGAGGAAACAAACTGTCAAGAGTTATTTCCATCTTCGCTATAAATACTGCTTGAAAAGGAGGCAATTGGCCTTGTGGGAAAGGAATGATCCAGATGGAAAGAGAATTTGATAGTCTGTAAAGCTTCTGTCATGAATTTGTGAGCCCACCTAGCTGAGGCTATTATCACTGCCACCATCACCTCTAGACTGTCTGGGTTTGGTTTTTAGGACCAACTCCCCCTGGTCACAGCCGTAAGCCTGAAGCAGTTCTTTCCCGTGCCGAGTTTGGGAGAAGCTTGGGACACTGGGAAAGAGGCAGCAAGGACAGTGACCGGCTATCCAGGGTAGGAGATTTGGGTGCAAGGATCACTGACCGTAGACTCTAGATCCTTGTGGAGCTTCTCCTGCCCATGGCCAAGCTGCAGCGGATAGGCACGGGGAACGGTGTTTCTGTGGGGCCTTCTCAACCCTGGCAGCAAGGACCTCCTATCTCTATGTGTACACTGTGGTGGTGGTGGTGGTAGGTGTGACTGCGAAGGTTTGATGCCACCCGACTTGAGAACAGTCCCAGAAGGAAGACTAAATAATGCAGGGAGTCCCCAAAGAGGCCCTGTAACACAAGTGACCCATCCTATTTCCCCTCTAAAAGGAGTGGCAGGATATTTTGCTTAAGTGGTGTCTCTTTCTGATACCTGCTTTGGAAGTTGAAAAGTGACTGAGACATGGCAGAGGCTTCTTGGAAGAAGATGCCGTTCTGTCACAATGAAAAAACACTTCACCCCCAAGTGAAGTGCTACAGGGGTCCACAGCCCAGAGGACTTGCCAGGCGTAAGCTAACGGCTGTGCTCTATGGGCCATCCCCAAAGCTTGGCCCCAAGGGTCCTCAGGGACAGAGATATGTGGGCACATACGCCCCAGGGTAGCCTACATTGCCTTGGCCATAGTTTTAGAAAAGAGACCTCTTCTTCTCACCCTCTCTCTCTTTCCTCACCTGCTGCTGCGTTTGGCCCTTGCTCTTGCATAGTAAGCTTCATAAGATTTCGGTTTCAGCTCCAGGGCCTTAGTAGCAAATTCCTCCGCCATTCCAAAATCCTGTCATTACAATAGGTGTGCAAATAAGTCATTCAGGAGATATGAAAAGTAAACAACTTGGGCATAAAACAAGTCATATGTACATTTCGTTGACACTTACAGATGGAATCCTTGTGGTTTCTGACATGCCTGACATGGCTTTAGCCACGTGGCCCACAGACTGAATGTTTCTTCTGCCTTTGCCCTATGTGGCCCTGCAGCCACTCACTGGGATGGCTCTGTCCAAAATCTAGTAAAATCATTTTCATTTCTTTCTGCCTTTCTATCAAAGTTTTTTTAGCTCAGAAGCTAAATGTCAACCCTTAACAGTAAAGCTGCTGAGGTTGGAAACCGGAGCTCGTTACGCATGCATGTATGAGCTACACACACACATCGGTGCCTCCTCCGGCCCTCCACACCTCCTTGTGTCAGTCATCCACTCACACCTGGCCTTCTAAGGGTCAACCACGAGCACATCCTAGGAAATTCCGAGGGGTGAGGTCTTTGTAAAGGGAAACTTCACCCAGCATGGAGACTAGATGGAGTAGGGACGGCAGGCACTTTGGTTCAAATCTTTGATCTGCTTCGTAACTTCTCAGAGTGTGTGAGATATTGTGTCCTTCATACCTGCTCTTCACAGGCTTGGGTACATGAGACAAATCCTTTAAAAAATCGTAGTCTTTCATACACAGCAAATGCTCAGTCAATGGTAGTTTCTATTTCACAGAGGTTTGTCTAGGTTTTTCTTTGTCCTCTTAGTAGTTCCTTACTTAGGAAATGTTTAAGATCAAAATAAAGTCAGAGAGGCACAGTTGGGGCCCTGGCTGTGACTGGGGTCCATGCTGTCCCAGCCTCTTGAACACGGAGGCTCCTTGGAAAAACATGGCTATAGAGCTATCTGTCCTTGCTCTGAGAATCCTTGGGAATCGTGACGAGGGGAACATGGTTCTAAAAGGCCCCTTTCACTGCCAGGTTTTAGAAGGATGATGGGCAGTCAATACATACAACATCACCTTTGTAGACCTGATAAGATCTGCTGCCACTGAGGTTCAAATATTGCCTCTGTATCACTGAATTCTTTATTGACCAACACTCTTGTTTGCCTTGGATCATTTCTATCTCCCGAGGAACTGTGAGACCTCAGGTTGGGGGATGTCATCGAGATTTGAGAAACGATCTTGTCTAGTCCCCTATGTAAGCACTGTGTTTGCATGTCAGGGAAGCGGTGGCTGAGGGCATCAGAGACTGGTGTCTACAAGGCAGGCAAGAAGGATCAAGGACCACTTGGGAGGTAATACAGGACCAGGGAGAGTTCTACGATTCCCTTCAGGACAAGAAGGGACATGGCATGCTGGGATAAAGAGATAAGAAAAGATGTGAAAAGTTTATGACTAGCTTTACTTATTAAACTCTGAAGTCCATGGTCCAAATTCTTCTTTTCTTAAAAAGACTAGGGAGTCCACTAGAAAGGAATACCCCTCAAAGCAAGTGGATGTCAACACAGGGTGACACTACACAGGGCTTCAGAAACTGTACATCTTTATGCGAGCAGAGTCTCATTGTTCTCCTGAGGAGTGGCTGGTGGGCTTGAACTGCTAACCTTGCAGTGGGCAGCCCAATGCTTATTCCACACTGCTGCCACAGCTCCGCTAGAAAGGAAGGGGATGGTTAAAATTCAGATAGAACTGACGCTGGAATCCTTATGACCCCTGCTCTCACATTTCCCAAAAGACCAGAAAACTGACTTGAGGGGATGATGACATTCCAATCATTTTCAACGGGAATTATGAAAATTCAGAAAGCTACGAAGTACTTCCAGTGTTAACTTTTAAAAATATTTGAGATAACAAATTGAACTTAGACTTAATTTTTTTCAAATTGCAAATGTCAGTGCTCTGTGAAGGACAACCAAGTTCCAAATGGGGTACAGAAGGATTGCAGGGGTCTGGCCACGGCCACTAAATGACATGGACTGTCAACTTCCATGGCTGCAGGTAAGAGTTGGGAGGAGAGGGACTTACGTTCATTTTCCTGCGACATCGAGAGAGGTTGAGGAGGAGAGACACCTTTAGTTCCCGGAAGGTTTTCAAGTCCTCACCAAACCCTTCTCTAGGGAACTTCTTCAGAGCGTACTGGTAGCGCTGGGCAGCTTCCTTTACTTTACCTTTCTAATGAGGGCACAAGATGGCAAAACACACTATTGGTCTGCTGAGCAGTGGAGGAAGTTTGGTCCCAACTCCCTTTCTCTCCTCAGCAGTTATCACGAAGGGTTAAAATAACCAAATAACCAAAAAAAACCCCAAAACCACCAAATAACCAAAGCTACTGCCGCTGAGTTGATTTCAACTCAAAGCAACCCAAAGAACAGAGTAGAACTGTCCACTGGGCCCCCAGGCTGCACGTCTCTAAGGAAGCAGACTGTACATCTTTCTCATGGAGTGGTCAGCGGGTCTGAACCACTGCCACTCTGGTTAGCAACTGTGAACTTATCTCCGGTGCCACCTGGGCTCCTTCTCATGGGGTTAGTCAGCCCTCCCCAACACCAGCCTAAGGAGCAGCTCTGGCCCCGATGGTGACAGAGGAGGGCCCAGCCTTTTCTGTAGGAAACTCACCTGGGAGGAAAGGCAATGCTGAGGGGGACCCAGGATACCACCCAGAACAACAAAGCCGTGGCTAATGAGAGGCCTTGAGCTCAGCTTCCCAACTGGATTCTAAAGGGACCGGTCTAGTTCATTTCAAAGGAGCTATTTTTGAATTGACCTCCCTGGGATACATCACATTTCTGAGTTCCAAGCACTCGAAAGCTATTACTCTCTTAATTTCTTCTTTGACAGGAGAGCTCTCTTGTTCTGTTTGATGTTCTACCTTGCCAGCCCTCTAGAAGAGGCCATTCCTTTCCAGAAAAAGGAAGAGCCTACCCGCTGAGAGTCTCAGACAGTCTAGCTGCTGCTTTCCTAATCTCAAGGGATACAATAATAGTAATCCCTTTTCCCCATTTTGAAAATTCAAATAATAAGACTTGGTGGGAAGGTAATGGAGTAGAATCTAGTTTGGAATCTGATTCCATCTGATTTTGTAGAAGGGATTTTCCAAGACAGCAAATCTATGACCAACTTAGAGACCGGCCACCAGGGTCATAACATCTTTTCTTTTTGTATCTGAAAACTTATAAGTCCATAAAGAGACAGGAAGCATCTCCAACCCTTTAGCTCATCTTTATCAGCTTTATTCCTTTCTGTCTAGCTGCAATCCCACAGGCCTCCGCACTTTTTCACTAGAGAGATGTGGAGTCTTCCAAGGGAGAAATCTTGGGTGGGAACAGAATGATCTCTGACTACTCTCATGAAAAGATCTATGTGCCAGATAAAGTACCAGAATTATGTTAGTAACCAGGCTCATTCTTTAAAGCAATGCCACACTGAAATCTAGAATAGCACTGATAATTCGAGTGACGAGGCTCTTCACAGAAGTCAGGTGAAATCATGGTTGGGTCAGGGCTCAGGTTTCCTGAAAGTCTAAAAGTCCTAGATTTCTAATCCTGCTCTCAGAAACTTTGCACACGCTTGCTCCAGTGGGGGAACAATGCACTCAATCACACGTTCCTCATCTTTCAGTTCAGCGATGCCCACAGCCAAGAAGCTGGGTTAGGTGTGTATTCACCTTTGGAAAGCACGAATCATAAGGGACTTCGTACAAGTCATGGGAGTTGGTTTGTATCCGTGGGCAGAGCCTTCGGTTTGAACTGTGAATTCCAAAGTACTCTGTTTTTTGTTGTCAGTAAGTGACTTCAAGCAAACCTTATCATTCTATTTGCTTCACAGTTTCCTTATCTTACACAGGATGCTGATAAACTACTACTATTCTTATTAAAGGTTTAAAGATCTCTGTGTATTAATACTAAAGCTAAGATCAATGTCTCTTTTCTACGGACGAGAAATAACTTATGAATTTAAATTTTATTTGTCCTATTGTTCCAGATCCCATACAAAATGACATCATAAGCTGCCCATCAGTGAACAAGTAAAACTAAGTTCTCAGGAGCACCAGCCCATGACACCCTGAGGCAGGGCACCCTCCCTTTGCAAATTGTCACGATGTTGGTACACGGTGGCTGTTGTGAGGGAACTTTGTTTCTCCCACCCCTCACCTTATAGAACATGTCCCCCTCTTCCATCAGCTTGCTCAACAGGATGATCATGATGTCTGGTTTGGAGGTGGCCATCGCCCATGTGGCTGGACCTGTAGTGTACAGGATGCATGATGGGTAAAAAACTCATACAATGTAAAGGTGATAGGAAGCTAGGTGAAAAAAAACATCCTGGGGGAATTTCTGCTGAGAGAACAACTTGTTCCACAATAATTTCTTCTTCATCTTTTAGGTCTGGGAGTATCTCAGTGACTCCCTTTGCCAAGAAGCTGCATTTGGTTTGTATTCATTCACCTTAAAATAAGAATATCTGAACTGTCTAGCTTGCACCACAGGAGGGCAGCAAAGCCTGCATGTTGCATATGGGCTGGCCACTGTGTAGTTTAAAGTTCTTTTACTGAGAAAATTGAGGGAAGGAGCTCATCTGAAATGTCACCAAGAGATTCTGAAAATACAAAAAAATTACTTTAGAATCTTGGACTCAACCTCACCCACCTACCCCCAGCTGTTTTGCTTCTTAGTTTTGAAGTATGTGCTTTGCAAAAGGGAAACCGTTACAGACTAAAGGTTCCCTTATAAGCATCAAGCACGACTCTCCAGGATTCATGTTGAACCAGGAGCACAATTGGAGTGTCACGTGACTTGGAAACATGTCAACATTACTGAGGGCTACTTTACCCACAAAGGGAAAGAAAAGGTTTATATTGATTAGTTTATAGATACCTGAATTAGTTACAAACTAAGCTTTTCAGGGTTAGTTATCAAAAGTTCAAGTTATTCTCTACAACAGTCATTAAAAAAAGTCTTCTTTTAAGGTGAAGTAAATTAAAAGGTTAGAGGTGTGGGGAACTCATGCAGGCTAAATCAAAGAGGAGAAGGCAAAGCTGACCAAGCCATCAGACCACGCCTGATGCTGACAGCAGTGAATATACCTCGTGGGCGACTCGGTAACGTCTGACAACCTTCAAAGAAAGGAGAAAACAAAAAGTTGTAGGAAAGCGGGGAAAAAAAATGGATGAAGGTGAAAAAAAAAAAAAAAAAAGAAGGAAAAAGCAGCAGTGAGAGGCAGGCAGCAAAAAAGCCAGCATATCAGCCAACCCTTGACTACGGGTCTGTGGGACTGGGGAGCGGCTGGGACAGCAGTAGCAGGGGCTTTAGAGTCTGAAGCACATACAGAGCAAGGGAAAGCGAAGGCTAAGGCAGCGCAGGGATCCAGGATGCTTACAGGCTCGGGCTGGGGGAGAGGCCTGAGCACTAAGATGTGCTAAGGTCAGAGCGGCCTCCTTGCTAAGGCTACTTGGGGGCATGGCAGTACGCCGTGTGACTCTGGATACGATGTTGCGAATCATGGCTCAGATGGACTTTCTCTGGGCCAAAAGCTGTGCTGTTCGTTGGGCACTAATTGGGCCAGGACAGAGGGAAACTATATACATTCACACCAAACACCCAGGGCAGCCAGCCCCTTGGACCAATCTGGCCCCTGGGCGCAGATGGCCAGCACCTTCTTCTTTTCTCCTACCTATCTTGGCTCCTTTCTTTAGAAGGGTGACAACAACAGAAGTGTTCCGGCACCCCACTGCCCTATCCAGAGGGCGCATTCCACTGTAGTCAACATGCTCAATCATGGCCCCGTGATCCACCAGGAACTGGACCTACGACAGGGATCAAGCAAAGCAGTTAGCACTGGTGCTACAACTGTCCTGGGGGTTCCAGGTACTGCCCACCCTTTCTTTATTCAACTGCTGTTCTGAACCAGATTGTGGAGCCATGGTATTCCAGGCTGCAGCTATACTCTTGGTCTTCAATGTGTTTTGGATAGCTCTGTCTTCTAGCTGGTACAGACTTGTAACCTGTATTATCAGGCTTCTTCACACCACAATGCTACCCTCAACTCCTGATAATATTATGGAAAGGGAACCAACCTTCCCTAGCCCTGAACAACCCTGAGGTTTATTTAAAGACACTTACCACCTCTGCATCGCCATAGAAAGCTGCCAGATCCAGGGGGGTGCGGCCATTTTTGTCCGCATGGTCTGTGGCAGCTCCATTATCCACTAGAGAGCGCACGACTGAGAGATGACCCTTCAGACAAGCCCAGCTGAGGGCTGTAAGTCCTTCCTTGTCCATTAGAGCAATGGAGGCACCTAGGAGAGCAAGGGAGGAAAAAACACGAATGCTCATAGCAGGAGGGCAAGCTAGTACTGTTGAAGAATGCTTTTTTGATTCTGGGCCACTAACATTTTAAGACTGATCCTGGAATGTGAATCGTATTTCAAAAAAACTTCAGGAAAAAAAACAAACAAGACTGATCCTACAAGCTGTCAAAGAACAGAGTACAGATGCTTTACTGGGTGCTCAAGGTCTAGCCCCAATTTTCCTCTCTATCCTTAAGTTTTATTATTGTCCTGCACTTGCGCCTTCTACCACTTTGAGATGGATGTGCTCACTGCCTTCAGAATCTACAATAAATAGTCCTCTATCTTCACTTTTGAGCATACTGCTCCCGACAGAGGCAGTTCTACCCTGTTGTATAGGGTCACTGTGAGTCGGCATTGACACAATGGCAGTGATTACACTTTAAAAAAAATCTTTTCTTTCCTTTTATTTTTAAATCATTTTATTAGGGGCTCATACAATTCTTATCACAATCCATCCATACATCAGTTGTGTAAAGCGCATTTGTACATTTATTGCCCTAATCATTCTCTAAACATTTGCCCTCCACTTAAGCCCCTGGCATCAGGTCCTCATTTTCCCCCTCCCTCCTCGCTGGCCCCTCCCTCATGAACCCTTGATAATTTATAAATTATTATTTTGTCATATCTTGCCCTGTCTGACGTCTCCCTTTACTCACTTTTCTGTTGTTCGTCCCCCCAGGGAGGAGGTCACATGTAGATCCTTTTAAACAGTTCCCCCTTTACAACCCACCTTCCCTCCACTCTCCCAGTATCACCACTCACACCACTGGTCCTGAAGGGATCATCTGTCCTGGATTCCCTGTGTTTCCAGTTCCTATCTGTACCAGCATACATCCTCTGGTCTAGCCAGACTTGCAAGGTAGAATTGGGATCATGATAGTAGGGAGGAAGCATTTAGGAACTAGAGGAAAGTTGTAATTTTCATCGTTGCTACATCACACCCTGACTGGCTCATCTCCTCCCCGTGGCCCCTCTGTACGGGGCTCTCCAGTGGCCTACAAATGGGCTTTGGGTCTCCACTCCGCACTCCAGGCCCCCATTCACTATGGTAAGATTTTTTGTTCTGATGATACCTGATACCTGATCCCTTCGATACCACGTGATCGCACTGGCTGGTGTGCTTCTTCCATGTGGGCTTTGTTGTTTCTGAGCTAATGGCTGCTTGTTTACCTTCAAGCCTTTAAGACCCCAGACGCTTTATCTTTTGATAGCCGGGCACCATCAGCTTTCTTTGCCACATTTGCTTATGTACCCATTTGTCTTCAGCGATTGTATCATGGAGGTGAGCACAGAGTGATATGATTTTTTGTTCTGATGATGCCTAATAACAGATCCCCTCGACACCTCGTGATCGCACAGGCTGGTGTGCTTCTTCATGTGGGCTTTGTTGCTTCTGAGCTAGATGGCGGCTTGTTTACCACACACTATACACTTTCATGTAAAAAATTCACATGAAATGTTTTCTGAACTGATTCTAAGTCTTCTGTTTATCATAGCATAAACTCTTTGAGAGCGTCTCAGAGAATAAGAGCTCTGTCCATGTTTACCACTGATGATATGACTTGGCTGCTTACGCCTCCTTAGAAAGAAGGGAAATGTACTCCTGTTTAGAGCTTACTTAAGGTAGGCACCCTTCTTTGATAACCCCATCTTCGCTTGTGGCACAGTGGTTACACGTTGGGCTGCTAACTGAAAGGTCAGCAGCTTGAAACCACCAGTCTCTCTGAGGGAGAAAGAAAGCTTCCTATTTCTGTAGAGTTCGTCTCAGAAACTCACAGGCGCAGTTCTGTCCTATAAGATCCCTATGAGGCAGAGCTGAATCAATGGCAGTGAGTTTTGGTAATTTTCTGAACATTTTTTAAAGTCTGCATTTGCTTCCCTTCAGTACTTCCAGTTTCATCTGTAAGGCTCATTCACTTGTTTTGATCAAGCTTAGGATCTGTCACAGCCACATTGAGGTTTTACTTAGCAGTTATCTGGCCCAGTATGACCTCTGTATCCCTAGAGCTCAGATAAGTAGTCTGACTTTCCTTAGCATGATAAAGGGTAAGGAGACACCATTACTCAATGCTTATGAAAGTTACTTATGGGTTAGGCTATCTCTTCATAATGGTCTTGTTTGCAATCAAAACATTGAATCTAAGATGGAATGAATGTGAACATGGGTCAGAATCCAAGGTTTTTCAGACCCACACCTATAAATATCCTGGATAAGAAAATGGTAAAGTTTCAGATGCATATTAGAGATTAAATGATTTTCCAAACATAAGGAAATTGGAAATTGGAAATTAAGAAATTAAAAAGAGATATACAAAAAAAGAGAGACATACATGAAATAAGCCCATAGAATGGTTAACACTTCAAAAAGTCAATGTATAATCGTTCGTCTCTCTCTTCTTCCGCATTCAGTTAATAGGAACACTATGCTGTTCTCACAAACATCCATCTTAAAATGTTGCAGTTATATTCAATTCCTTATTTCCTTTACTTAATAAGTCTAATATTAAAAAGTATCTTGAACTTAGCCTTTTTGTGCTATTCTGACAACTACTGCCCTTTAATCAGGCCCTCATTACTGCTCTTCTCCTCCACTACAGTGGCTTCCTAACCGATCTCCTGCCCCTTTATAATTCCTTCATCAACTCTACTATTCACTCTATGCCAGGGTAATTGAAACTTTTCCCCCAATAATAGCTAACAAGTATATATTTACTTCAATACTTTACTTTTGAAATTTCTTTATGGTGATAAAATATATATAAAACATTTGCTATTTTAACCATTTTATGTGTATAATTCAGTGATGTTAATTAGATTCATCATGTCGTACAACCCTTACCATTATCAGTTCCCAATTTTTTACATTTTTCTTAACAAATTCCATATCCCTTAAGCAATAATTTAACTTTCTTTCCGTTCACCTGTCTCTAGTAACCACTAATAAACTTGGTGTCTATTCTATATATCTCATATATATGGGATCATAGGATCTTTGTCTTTAAGGTCTGGTTTATTTCACTCAGTATAATGTTTCCCAAGTTCATTCATGTTGTGGTATTTACCAAAACTGTATTCCATTTTGTGGATGGATAATATTCCATTGTATTCTGCATATCCACTCATCTGTTGCTGATGGACCCTTGGGTTGTGTCCACCTTTTGGCTATTGTGAATAATGTCACAGTGAACACTGTTATATATCCATCTGCTGAATTCTCTGCTGTCTTTCAGGGCAAAAATCTAAGTAGAATTGCTGGGAAAACATTTTTGCTGGCTTAACTTTTCACAGACATTGCACCATTTAACAATCCCATGAGCAACGGATGAGGATTCCAGTTTCTCCACACCATTGTCAACAATGCTGTTCTCCATTTTTTGGATAAAAGCCATTCTAGTAGGGTCGGGGTGGGAGATCACTGTCATTTTGTTTTGCAGTCCCCTTGCGACTAACGACAGTAAGTATGTTTTCAGATTCTTCCTTTGTTGAAATGTCTATTGAATTCCTTTGCGCATTTTCATTGGGTTGCTTTTCTTTCTGCTGTTAAAATGTAGGAGTTCTTTATTTATTCGAAATATCAAGTCCTTATCAGATATACAGTTCCCAAATAGTTTCTCCAATTCTGTAGGTTGTCTTTATTTTTTGGATTAACGTCTTTTAATGTACACACACACAAATTTTGATAAAGTCTAATTTATTTAATCTTTTTTTGCTTGTACTTTTGGTGTTTTATATATATAAGAATCCACTGTTGAAAGTTAGGTACCGAATGCTTATCCTATATTTTGTTCTAGGAGTTTTAATAAAGTTAGTTTACACATTTAGATTGTTGATCCATTTTGAGTTAAATTTTCTTTTGCATGTGGAGATCTAGTTATCTCAACACCATTTTATTCAAGAGAGTAAACTTTCCCAAAGAGACTAATATCCCAAAAGAATACTGAAAATGCCATGGACAGCCAAAAGAACAAACACATCTCTCCTAGAAGAAGTACAGCCAGAATGTTCCTTAGAGTCAAGAATGATGAGACTTTGTCTTACACACTTGGGACATAGTCAGGAGAGATCAGTCCCTGGAAAATGCTATTATGCTAGGTAAAGCCGAGGGGCAGTGAAAAAGAGGAAGGTACTGGACCAAGATGGACTAACACAGTAGCTGCAACAATCACTCAAACGTCAGAACAATTGTGAAGCTGCTGCAGGATCAGGTGGTGTTTTGCTCTGTTGTGTATAGGGTCCCCTGTGAACCAACTTGTTGGCACCTAGCAACAAAACCTTCCCTCTTGGAATGGCTAGGAATCCCTTGCCAAAAATCAACTGCCCATTTATTCTATTTTACTGTTCTATCTTTATACCAGCATTGGACTGTTTGACTGCTGTTACAATGGCTTCCTATTCCTTTGGAATTGGGAACTGTGAATCTTCTTATTTTATTCTTCTTTTTGAAGACTGCTTTGGTTATTTGTCATCTCTCATAATTTTTTATTAATATGAAAATTGGCTTTTAAAATATTTACAAAGAAGACTCATAAAATTTGCATCGACTCTACTTGGGTAGTTTTAACATGTTAACAATATTAGACCAAATGTTTCCTCCCCGCTCCCACTATCATGACACGAATTCTACCTTGCAAGTCTGGCTAGAACAGAGGATGTACACTGATACAGATAGGAACTGGAAATACAGGGAATCCAGGGCGGAGATCCCTACAGGGCCAGTGGAGTGAGTGGCGATACTGGGAGGGTAGAGGGAGAGTGGGTAGGAAAGAGGGAACCGATTACAAGGAATTAAATGTGACCTCCTCCCTGGAGGACGGACAACTGAAAAGTGGGTGAAGGGAGATGTCGGACAGGACAAGATATGACAAAATAACAATTTATAAATTATCAAGGGCTCATGAGAGAAGGGGGAGCGGGGAGGGAGGGGAAAAATGAGGACCTAATGCGGG